GGTGTACAATGGGCAGCCTCCCACCTTAATTAACAACCTAATTAATTACCAACACGGTGTAGTGGGCGAGACAGGTGGGCAGTGTGCCCAGAGGCAGGTGGGAAACTAGCCCTGTGATGAGCCAGGGACCCCCACTTTGCCACAGATAGATTGATTGGTGTGTTGCAAATGATCAAGTCATTACGAATACATAGTTTGAACACCACCCGAGAAGAAGGTATACATGGAAAAGTCCTGGAGATAACATTAGAAACCAAACTGATTACATCACTATCAACAGAAGATTCAGGAATGCAGTTCAAGAATTGAAAACTTACCCAGGGTCATGTGGAAGTGATCATGTACCTGTAGTATGAACCATCCAAATAAGGTTGAGGAGATCTTAGGAAACCAAAAGCAACTGATTACTCAATTGTAATGGAAAAAGATCTGATTAAAGAAAGGTACATAGTTGCAGTCAAAAACTGTTTTCAAGAACTTGAAGATGAAGGTGTCTGAACCAGAACTGAAAAGGATGCTGATAACACAGAGTTAAAGGAAACTAGTGCAAGCATGCAAGTGGAAAAACCCCAGAAAGCCAATACGCATGTCCAAACATGCCCCACCTGGTCAGTATGCCATTGAGTGAGGTGATTTGAATTGGCAAAGCACGCATGCCCAGTCATGTATTAGGCATTATGTAATCTGGCTAGAACTTTCCAAAAGGAGAACCGTGTGATTGGCTACCTGGAGAGTACTTAAGCCAGCGGGCTTCTGCCCAAGGCGGAGACCAGCTAAAATCAGAGAGAGGAGACCAGCTCTCACAGAACCCTGGTTCGCATGAGCCCAGACTTACCTCACCGGCTGGCCACTTGTGATTGTCTCCCCGCTATCGTCATGTCCCGGCATACCCCATCCTCACACATGCTCGACTCGTTTCAACTAGCTTGTCCATCCGCCACCGTCATCTCCTGGCGTACCCCACCCTCACACACGGTTGTCTTCGTTTACTGCTGTTGTTGTAACCAAGCCTGACCTGTGCTACACTACTGTTACCTGGTGGCGTAAGTAAAGAAAATTAAAGTTTGTTTTTGCAACCATATGAATACTGGCCGCCTGACCCCTCACCGCTAGCCCCCACCTGCTCGATTGTGTCGGCCCAGACCATGACCAGGCAACTTCGTCGCCACATGGCATCACAAACAGGATCCAGGGAAGGTGAGATGGAGTCAGAGCTGATCCGCTACTGCCCGTGGCATAGTGGGGACCATCCAACAACCAACTCGGACGATCTATGGGTGCATATTGTTTACCACCAAGCAGCCAGTTTGGCCATACCCACAGTAAACAGGTACATTTCCCTTCGCGGGAGTGACACTAACGGGAAGGAATGGGCCATCCAGCTAATCCCCAGTGCCTTCAGCTGCATGATGCGGGACCCCAAGGTTGTTTACCGTCCACGGAAGGAGACCGGGTCCCTATCCCTTGCCCGCGTTAAACCCATGGGCGCGGCGTGTCCCAGCCCGGCCCAAGAATTTGCCTGATGCATTCAGCACATTAAAGAGGGAGGCAAAAACACCCCTCTGGACAAGTTTAACTGTCCGAACCTCTCACAAGGATCCAGGGGCACAAGCTGCTAACCCAGTTCTGTGAACACCTAGAAGCTGACGGGCGGACAACCGCTAAGTGGACCGGCCCGAATTGGGACAAGGGCAAAATGCTTAATGTTCTATTTCGTGCATATGTTGGGCTGTTGAGAGAGAGCACAGATCTAGAGGCACAGCTAAAAACCGCTGCCCTAGCTACCACAGACAATGCAGCCGTGCCGCCATTCCAAGATGGCGCCGGCAAGAAAGGGAGCTCAAGTGAGGCGGGAAACCCCATAGAGAAAAGCGCGCCAACACCACCCACCTGGAGCCCGCCTCCTTCCACAGCACCACCCACACCGTCACCACTGCCATACAGGCAGACACGCCCAGAGGGGGTGGAGACCAAGGAAGCCAGCGAAACTGAAAGCAACACAGGGACAGCCGTAGGAAGAGGCAAGTTCAGCCCACCGCAGGATACTTCACCACCACAACTGTATCCCAATCTCACAACCGCACTGCCTATATCAGTGCGCAAGCATGTGACGGGCCCGCAAGGCCGAGGAACACAGATTACTGTCACCACGCAAACATGCACCCGTGCTGAAATGAGCGACTTATGAAAAGAGACAGGCATCAAATCAGAAGAAACCCCAATTGTATGGCTTGGACGTCTAGTTGCAGAAGCGGGAAATGAAATCATAGACCAAGATGAAGCAATGCGATTAGTCCGCAACACTGCATGGAGCAAAGGAAAAGTAGTAGACCCTGTCCCAGTACTTGCAAACAACCATTGGCCCATACCACTTCCAGCCTTAGTAGTTGAGGCCCTGCAATGGAAAATACACACCTGGCACGAAGGTGCACTGGGATACTCAGATGCAAGTGCCCTGGTGTACGCGATACTTGGAACATCCTACGCTGCCTGGAACCCAGCTCAACAAGCTCTGAATCTCACACTGGCTCAAGCGCAAGGAGCCTGGCCACACCGCTTTGCCACAAATCCAGGAAATGTGCCATGCCTACTCGAAGCAGTAGAAGCTGCTACTGAAGTTTACAGGGGAAACCAGAATCTAACAGCCAGACTGCTACTCAACCCATCCGTAAATGGTCCCGTAGCACATGTACTAGGTCAGATGGGCCAACTTCAAGGAGCCATGAAAACCAGAACACAAAGAGCAGCACTTCCCATCACCAATGAAGAATTGAACACCTCATCAGTTTACCCAGTTGAATACGCTCCTACTCACCCTAGTTGGGCCAACCAGTGACCTCAAGCCCGTGACCCACCGCCGCAACGCACCCCAGCAGACCGGGCGATGTTTGGGTTTCTGCTCAACAACTCCAGTTTGACTAAGGGTCAACTTAGAACTCTTGGGGATGAAAGGCAAAGAGCCCTAGCCCAAGCCCTGGGATTTAACGAACTCAGTAACAAGCCAAAAAACGAGTTGTCACCATCGGCTCGGCCGGCGGCGCTCCACAACTTACTGACCTCGATCCTCGTCTGTACGCTACCATCGTCATACGAGACCCTGACCAACCACACAGTGCGACACCCACAAAGTTTCTACTCGATACTGGGGCCCAAATATATGTCATCAAACAATCAGTTCCCCACAAGAGAACTAACAAAACCATGATGGTTCAAGGTCTTAATGCTATCACAACTATGAACAGAGTGAAATTCCTAGTCAGAAATCATGATAAATATCTCAACGCAGTGATAGGGGACATCAACCTCCTAGGTATACCCGGCATCCAAGCTTTAAACTTAAAACGTCAGGTTTTAGAAGCCCTACCAATCACTATGGCATCAGAAGATCGACACCAGCCGACACTGCAAAACATCTCGACATGGAGATACACGCCCATCCCCACAAAAGCATATCTTCGTGACTCCCTTGACACCTTGTTGGCACGTCTAGTCCAACAACAGTGCATCGCCCCAATCCAAGCAAGTGCACGTTTGTCACCTGGATGGGGGATCCAAAAGCCTGGAAAACCAAATGAAGCGTGCCTGGTCGTGGATTACAGTAAGGCAAACAAACGCTGTACCACCCTAGCTCAGGCAACTCCCTGCACGCTACTCCAAGGCACCCAAGAAATGGCGCAATACCAAGCTCGTGCATGAGTAGGCACTACTCTGGACCTTAAAGATATGTTCTTCTCACTCCCGATCAACGACAGAGACGGGATCCTCAACATGTGCATAGGAGGACAAATGTTTAAGTGGAACGTCTGCCCACAAGGATATTGCAACGCACCAGGATTAGCCACCAGCACCATGAACAACAGCCTCCAGTGGTTTTATGAGAAGAATCCAAAGAGTAAAGAAGTAAGAATTTGGAGCTATGTGGACAATATAGCCATCATGGGACGGGAAGAAACAACAGTACGGAAGGTCACCGAAGATCTAGTGATCAACTTTCTTGGGACGACCTTCACCGGGACTACCCGCCATGGAGCAGCCCACAACCAACTCGACACCAAAAGTCACCTACCAGTTCCAGCAACAGTCAGCAAAGACGCGCCATCCCGCTCCATTGTCGCGACTTCATCAGAAGCGATAGGAGACGATACTCATCCCCGAGTGGAGACAACAGCTGATCTGAGGGAGGACTGAGATGACACCGGCCAACACTTTAGTGACTTTATCTTTGTATTATATGTTAGTCATGTTTACTTTCACCCCGCAGTCTGCCGAGCCAGTTGCTGAATCCAGTCATCCAACCAATACAGTCCTATATTTGTTATCACTTTGGGCCAACGCCTCGGGAGATGGTGAGACAGGAGACGGTTTAACTGCATGTCTCCGAATCCCTCTATCCATCGACGACCCAGTTCTTACCCCATATCTCTCACCATTTGACGTTTCAGATTGGTTTATCCAAGTCTCAAAAGGCCCAGTGACCTCCATCAACATCTCCACACCTCTAAAGAGTGGAGGCTCTATCTTTATTGATTTCACCTGGCCCCGTAATTTTACCCTGGCAAACCTCTCCAATACCACTTTACCCCCCGTGAAGATTGTTTCGAGAGAGAAGCCCCATACGCTTGCTCCGCCATCCCCTGGGGAATAAACCCACAAGGCGTCAACTGGTCTCGCCCTGACATGTCACTCACCTGGGACCCCCACTCGATCACCCCACCTTGGTACCTTGCACTTACACCCAGCGGTGCCAAAACCACACCCAGAGTCGCCCTTTCCCCCCTTATCAAGCCCACTCCTTTAGTTCGTTGGAACGCTTCCCTAGCCATTGATTTGACCCGACCAGGTCCATTAGGAAATAACTGCTGGTTCGGATTTTATTATCCCATCTCACGAGCAGCATTGTTAAACGCCGCCTGCCACAGTGCCACCTTCCCTTTTAGGCAGTCCAGTCCACCCAAACGAGCTAGGCAAGCTTTCCAGTTCCTTGGTACATGCTCAGAGCTCACTACACCTGCACCATTCGGTCTCCTCTGGGCTTGTTCAGACAGGCGACTATACACTACCTTATCTGCCACACTTTCTGGTTTACAATGTTTTCTAAGCTCTGTTTCTTTTTCTCCGCCCTTACAAGCCCTAACTGCTCACCCCCCAAGTTTAACTCTCCACCGCCGCACTCGGTCCACCACCCCAGTATGGAGTTCACTCACGTATGGAGAAAGATTCGCCCAAGGCCTTAGTTGGGCCTTCAAAGGGCTCTTCCTTTGGGGCCTCGGAATTGCTAAAGCCCAAATAGCTATCGCCCAACTCGCCGAACAGGTCAAGCTTCTCGCATATCGCACTGCAACTGGTTTCGAGTTATTAGTTCAACAATT